TGAAAATATCTACATCTTCTAATATAATAAATACAGATTTAATAAATACAAAATAATGTTAGAAATTTAATATAGAAAAACCGTAGGATTACTTACTTTTCCGTTAGATCTATATTTAAAGTATATTTCATTTCAAGAAGTGTATTAACAGTGAGCAACACCGATTCTAATTAAGATTTCTCAATTATGATATATTATATTCTTCTGTGAAATCTATTTAATGTACTGCTCATTTTGAATTTGCAATTTCTTTAAATAAATAGCGTGAAATTTGTTTTACAATTGTATCGTAGAAGCATACGCTATGTAGTATCGTCGTATGATCAATTACATTAATGACGTATTAAATATATTCCGCACACAACACTTTAATAATAAGCTTATGTTTTGTATAAATAAGAGTATTATTAGATTGAAGTTATAAAGTGATGCTCACAGAGCAAGTTATTCCACGAAGGTCAGTATTACACAGTTCCTTATTCTACATAAAAGCATGACAGCACTATGATCATACAATTAATATATACGTCTGCTGCGTATGTGATAATGTATGATCATATAGGCACATTGTTAGATGAATGTTTAACTGATGAAGCATCACGCCATGCGGTATCAATTTCTAAATGGCAGGTTTTAAAGGATCTAAAGATGCTTAATTTCATTCAATATATTTTCATCGTCGAGCTTAATGAGATGTTTTCAATGTCAGAGAAATGAAATTTACGTAAATTAAATTTTTCGGTTTGTTAATTGTATATAGGTAAAGTTCATGAAGACAAATGTAATAATTACATTGGAAATTGTGTTATTTAAAATATAGAGGGAAATTATTATTACATAAATGTATTACATTTTTGCATTTATTTTTAGATGGAGAAAACATTTGTAGAAAAATTATATTATACTTTAAGTAAGAATAAATTTTTAAATTAAATTATAAATCGATATTTTCTTATTAGCAGGAATATTATTAAAATTCATTTTATTAAATTTATTAAAAACATTTTATTATTATATGTAAAATATTTTACTATTAATATATGCTTTAAAAGTATGTGCATTTAGGTATAAATATTTGGTTATTATTGCAATTAAATCGTTTAAAAAAAATCGGTATAATTCACCAATATTATCGATACGTTATTCTAATAAAATAGAATTTTATTTTTCAAGAATAATCAACGGAAATATAAATAAAATTATCGGTTCACGTTTTATGAAGGTATATTATTATGTTTGTTATTTTTCACTGGTTATTTATCGGTATTTACTATCAAGTCTATGGTAATAATAATATTTTAAATTATTTATATTATATTCAAAATTTAAAAAAAAAATGAAAAGTTATTTAGTGAAGAATTAAAGTAACTTTTAACATATATATTTTTTGATTATGAAGATTAAATATCATAGAGTATATGAAATATTTAGTGTCGCAGGCAAACGAAAATATATTTTATTAGTAATTAATTAAATTTGATATCGCATGTGGATACTTATTTAAGTTTTATTATACAGAAACGATGTCAAAGTGCCATAAAATAATTATATTCTTTGTTGTTAAATAAATATCCAAAAATAAGTTAATATGGCAAATTTATATATAAAATGTCATTGCTCGAATGTTGATTTTATTAGTTATTTTTGATGTAGGGAATAACTATTCGTACTTAAATTTTTTTTTTACATATAATATTATTGCAATTATAAAATTACGTAAAAATACCGTATAGAATTGTACAGATTTTGAAATATCATCAATGTAATATTAATTAAATTGAGATATTGATATTTGATGGTTTATTAAAATTTAAGTTTATCTATTTGGCTACTGTATTCCTTCTACATTAAATCTACATTGAAATGGATCCTTTAATATAAGTTGCATAGTAGAGTGGTAGGGAGATATAATATAGTAAGACATCCAAATTAATACAAAATTTACTAAATAGTCAAAAAATTCTACATGCATGCATACACGTACGCGCTCAGTGTTCATTTAATTTGATATATGAAAAAAGTAGTAATATTATTAGTCATTAATGTTTTATCTAATTATGTAATACACATAGTAAATTAATTACGAGCTCTAAAAATGATTCTAATAAATGAAATATATTTCTTTCCAAATTTTTATTCATTGAGCGTATTTTAAATATTAACTTTTTATACAAGTAAAGAAGTTTATCAATCAGATTAAATTAATAATTTAAATATTGTCCCACACGCTGTAATTGAAAGTATGAAAATAAGGGATTTGAATATCTACTTAATAATCGTAATGAAATATTACATTTATTAACTAAATCTATACAGAATTTCAATTAGTAGGATTCAAATAATGTTGTAGTATTTCATAAAGTTTAATCAAATGTACCTATACACTTTTCAATCTAAATCTTCTATTCTGTTTTCTTTTTATTTATTATAATGCATAATACAACAAGTATAAGAGGTGTACTACCATCACTATTACTTCACGAGATGAAATTAATGCGAATTAGCTGTTTATGTATATGCTAGCAATTTATAAGTGATCTTATGTATTTTCTAGATTTATTTGAAAAGTCTACCGAATGGTTATTTGAACTTTCTTCATACTTATTAGCTTAGTTTACAGTACTTACTTTACCTATAATACCGAGAAAGTAGTATTGTAAATTTCTAACGTTAAAAGTATATAACTTTTATGTACACTATTGATCATTTTTTTCAAGGTATCTTCATTTTTGTAACTTGCGTATTTATTTTTGGTTCTTTATAAGTAGCATATAATTTATTAAATAAATTTAAGCTTTATTCGTGCGATTTACAATAAGTAATAAAAACTATCAATTATTTATGTATGAACCAAAGTATGAACCAGATCAAGGTAATGTTTTGCTTAAATATCCGAATAAATCTATATATTATTTTATTAAAAAATGTATTTTATTCATAACAAGGTCTAAAATTTAAGTTATCCAAATCGAAAAATTGAAATGATACAAATTTTATCCACATTTATAAAAGCTAAGTATTTGCATTATTGGTTCAGAAATACTTGCTATCGTACAAATGATCACACAACTAAATATATATATATATATATGTAAATTTTAGTAATTATTTAATTTGACCATTGAATAAATTAATATTACTTGGAATATTATAAAATAAAGGTACGGTAAATTTAGCATAAATTAATTTTAATAATTGTAATTTAAATAGATAACAAATATAATCTAATTTCCAGTATGCAATCATAAACAAAGTAACATAAGATATAATAAATAAAACAAAATATATTCTTGAATTTGCATATGTGCATATGTGTGTGTGTGTGTGTGTGTGCGCGCGCGCGCGCACGTATGTGTATATCTGTGCCATTTTTAAAGATATGTATAATGATATTTGAAAATAAATTTTATTTCATGTCAATACTACAACAATTATTAATATATTAATTAAATTAATCTTTTCTATGTATGTCCATAAAATAATTATAAAAACTAGTCGATACTTAATTAATGTGCTTTATAAAGTTATAAAATTAAAAATGTTCGAAATACTGAAAATGAAAAATAATCACAGAAAGGACAGTTTTTATAAAAATTTAAAAATATTGAATTTTAGTATTCTAAACTATTTGTGATTTAATTTTAAATATATAGTCATTAGGAAATTAATTTTATTTTATATTACGATGTTAATTATCTTTTAATAAATTTTGTGAAGTATAATCATCATGAAATATCAAATGTCTTAACCCTATCGTGGAAATAAAAATTCTCGCATTTTTCTTATTAGAAGTTATGACTTTTCAGAATTGTATAGGAGATAAAGAAAGTGTATATTACAGCACTGCAGTTTTGAATTGAAGTCTGACCATTTACAATATTGTCGTAACACTACTAGAGCTTTTAGTATGTTGAAAGCGAGATAGAGTATATTTGCTTTTACTGTTTTATCTTGATTGATGCGCGAGCGATGATAAATTTAAAAAATAGTAATATCTCGTAATGAAAAACTTCTAAGTTTTATTATCAATGTTTCTGAAATAATTAATAGTTTAAGATTTAGAATACATTAAATGAAATTATCGTTCAATTTCAACTTAAAACTGACGATTATAATATTGTATATGAATATTTTTTATTGAATAAATTTTGCTTCTTACTTAATTAAATTATAGTATTATTTCAAGGATATGCAATTAATGCTAATAATTTTTTACATATTTATATAAAGATAAAAAGGAATTATTGCAGGTATGCATATATAAAAATGCACGCATAAACACAAAGTAGCGATAAACATAATCATTTAAAAAAAAAATACTTTTTAATTAAAACAAAAAACAAAAAAAAAACAAACAACAACAAACAACAACAAACAACAACAAAAAAAATTAATTAACACTTATAAAAAAATCTGGTTTCATTGAGCTGGAAATAACCGCTCAGGATGAAAAAAAACCTTCTAGACCATACGATATAAAGTATCGTAATAATTGCATTAAAAGTATCACTTTTGTTATGCTAAATGCAATTATTGAAATTTCATTTGTATTATATTAGTCGTAATATTTCGTAGATCAGAATTGGAAAAAAATGTATATTATGGTTATATATAACTCAGCAAATTCTGGAAACGTATCGTTGAATTTCAATATTATTCAAGCTCAGTTGACAAATATAATTTATAAAGTAATATTCCTTCTCATCTCCTTCCTCTTACGTATTACCGAATAAGATTATTGATAATAAATTATATGATTTGCGTAATTGCGAAATTTTTGCTTAGAAAAATTCAGCTTTATAAGTTTAGAACACTAAATCAAGTATAAAAGAGCAAAAGGAATATTAGCGATTAAACGGATGGGCCTTCGACGAGTGCTCCCGATCACTTGGGTCTTCTCGCCTGTCACATCCCGTACAAATTCAAAGGGGCCAGGCTCCACTCGTTGCTCCGATCAGCGGATCAGTGAAAAACCAAGTTCCCGACGCGGGCCCTCTCACCTGATACTCGTAGTCCGGATACTCGTCAAGGGCCTCCTCGATGGCGCGCGCCCCCGTCCCGGCGGGTACCCCGAGGACCGTCAGCGCGACGAGGAGGGCGAGGATCGGCCCCGCGGCCCTCATCCCGTGGCCTCCCGGGTGGCTGGAGCGTCAAGGGCCCGTGGATGCGCTGCGCTCGCTGCAACCTCGTCTCATCGGTCGAGCCTCGCGTATGCCTACGGGAGCAGCGCGTCCACCCTCGCACGGCCAGTCGGGCAGTGCAATGTGTCGGGGCCGCTTGCCGCCCGTGCCTATATACATGCCCATGTACGCGATGGTGGGAGGGCGACACGCAAGCGCGCCGAAACCTCGGGGCTGTTTACCTTCGCGTCGTTTAACGATCGTCTGCGTCCAGCGGCTCCCGATCGCCCGTTCCCCGGGCCGCCTCTTGAAAGCGATACCCACTGCCGCGCTGGTCCCGATCGCAGGCTGCAACCTTCGTCAGGGCTGCGCGATTCGGATATACGCGTGCGTGCGCGTCTCCCCGCATCTCTCTCTCTCTCTCTCTCTCTCTCTCTCTCTCTCTCTCTCTCTCTCTCTCTCGAGTGGAGGACACACGTGACCATCGTGCTTTAGGCCTTGCCGAGAGTCCGTTCGGCTCGAGGAAGTTCGATTTTCTACATGTTCTCTTGGGCACGATTGTTATTAAACTAATGGCAAGTTACCGTGGCGTCATTACAGCCTTTTCTCAGTTAAATAACAGTCATGTGAATATTGCGCTGTAAGAAGCTACAATTTAGCAATTTAAAGGCCCCGCACGAGTAGCTTATGCCGCGTACTTTTAACACACAATAAAACGCTCGACAAAGGCTATTATTAAATAATATATCAGTTATGCGAATGAAAAAAAAAATATATATATATATATGTATATATACACATATGTTTAAAATGCTCGTATGCTCAATATTGTTTATCAGTGAATACTTTATAATAATAGATGTAATCAAGATTTGAGGTTCAAGAGTTTGCGTCATTAACTCTTCTGGCTTCTTATAAAATTTATTGATTTTTATTACACGTTTGTATATTGCCGAGATAGAATACTTATCGTTTATCTAAATTATGTTAAGAAATGGAAGGATTCCCTTTAAGCTCTTGCCAAATTATAAAATTAAACTGATTAACGCTATCAATGAAGAAGAGAATGAAAACGTTTCATCCGACTTTATCAATGAACCACCGTGTCTGTCTACTTTGTTACTTGAGTCGCAATACATGTAAGCTTTATCATAAATTCATATGAGCCTTCGCCTCCAGTATCAACATCATATACTTGAAATATGGTATTACAAAACTTGTAAAGGTAACATTTTTAATCGGATGAGCATTATTAAATTTATTACTTATTTTTGAAAAATTAATTCCTTTTCAAATTTATTTTTATTATAATTAATGACTTTAACACCATGCAATATTGATATTAATATTTCATAAATATTAAATTGCAATTCACTAATAAACCAACTAACAAACCTGTCCTATCGAATTAAAAAACAAAAAGAAAATGAAAAACGAAAAAAAAAAAAAAAAATAAAAAAAAAAAAAAAATAAATAAATAAACAAAAGAAAAAGTAGAAGATGTAACATTAAACAGAATCGATGTATCCTTAATAAAACATAGGGATTCCCTACTAAATGATGTGCACATGACCCTACGCATTGCTTCGGTTTTATGGAGTTTCATAATATCGATACATCTAGTAGACAATATTTTTTAATTACTTCCTTCATTACAAAAGTTTTATTTATAAACAGAGTTATTAATAATTTAGCCTCGTATTCGCATTATTACTATACGTTTATCTTAATAATTTAATAATTAACGTCTCTTGCATTTTATATATTCATATGCATGCATATTACTTATTCTCATTCTATTGTTTAATCGACAAAGCATTGTGCGTTTCTTCATTGCGTTAATAGTCACAATACTTTTATGAAATATACCGATGCTTCTTCAGCATATTTCTTACAGATTAGTTTCTATTATTAAGCTTATTCATTGAATTCATTGAATCGACTTATATGAATTGCATGAAAATATTTTCTCTCTTTTTATTATTTGTAAGATTTAATATTTTTGTCCTCAGATCTTCAAAGCACTAATTTAACATTGATTATCCAGCGTAAAATAAATTTTAACATTTAACTTTTATTTTACATTTGTTTTATAATAAATTTATTGCTTAATTATCAAGAGGATTGAGTTTTTAATAGAGTAGTTTATTAAAGATCGTAAATGATTTAATTGAAAGCTTAAGTAATATATTATTTTCTTTCATCAAAGGAAAATAGTGAAATAAAAAACCCTTTATTTCTAATAAAATCTCGTGTTTCTTATTCTCACACATACATTTAGTTGGTAGAATAAGTCATAAAATCAATTATTCAACGATTATTTACAAATACATTAGATTTAAGATTACAAAAATAAATGAAATATTCTTTCTTCAAAAATGTATTCTTTTGCGCATAATTTAATTAATAGAAATTTTAATATTAATTTTATATTTAAATTAGAATCTTTTCATATTAATATTTTTTTCAAAATATTAATCTTAAATAATTATTAAGCGTATTGGAAATCAAATTTGACTCTCTCTCTCTCTCTCTCTCTCTCTCTCTCTATATATATATATATATATATATATATATTAAATTTTTATATATATATTAAATATATATATATATATAAATATATATATATTTATATATATATATATATATATATATATAGTCAATAAACATATACGTATTAGTATATAAATTAAAAAAAAATTTATTTATTATATCTATTGTAGTAATATTTTGTAGATATACACATCTATTAAGTACAAACTAAACATGTTCTTCGTATATAATAATACTTATTAATATATTAGAAGTTATTTTTCATTTTATTATTTAAAAGTTTTTTAAGAGTCTGTTTGATGTATGAAATATACGATAGATTATAATAAATTAGATTTTTAATTTTTTAAAATAACTAGTTATTAAAAAAATTATTATAAAAATAAACGAATTATTTAAATCGAATAATAATTGAATGCACTATATATTTTATATATTCATTATTACTATTATCATTGTCATTCCTATTAGTCTGCCAAGATAATTCTAAAATATATATTTTTAGTATTGTACGTGTAATATTATTATTTATTTTTAATATGATCTTGTATATTAATTGAATTGTATATATTGTTTCAAATTGCTAATTTAAATATTTCTATTTAAGTATAAGATATGATTACAGGTATTTGATTTATTTAAATCGAACTACAAAAGTTTTGCGTTGAAATATTAGTATTAATGAATATAGAATTTTAAGTCATTTTAAAATATATTCTTTTTAAATTATAATATTCTAGGCATCGGATATGAACTTTATGATCAATTGAAAATATTTATTGAATATTAATTTTTCACTAATTTTTATAATTGTATAACGAATATTAATTGAATATTAATGTTTTAAATAATTACATTGATTAATGCACAACTGAAGGGTAAAACAATTAACTTTCCGCATTTACATCTTCTATATAAAGTTGCACATATTGTTTTAAAATAATAAAGTATAGTAAAGTGCGTAATGTTTATAGCATAATGTAATAATAAAGTGCTGTAAAATATATAATGAAGTAAGCGTTGTTTATAAGAGAAGAAAGGAAAATTTGATATAATAAAATAAGTAAATATTTAACAGTTTTATATTTTATTACCCAGTATTGCAATATTTTATTATGAATATTTATTGAATTTTCTTATTATCTGGTTATAAGTATATTTCAGTGATGATATATAAAAATCTTAAAAAATTTCATAAAATTTAAAATATACACAGTTTTTATCATATAAAACCAATTTATATATAAAAAAAAAAATATATATATATATATATATATATATATAATATATAATATTTTAGTTATTTATAGAGTTATTATTAATTGATTTCATGGTAATTTTTGAATTAGGAAGATAATCAAATTATTTAGAATTTTTACTTTAAATGTGTTATCTCGCGTTATCTTTAATGTCAAGAAATTCTGGTGGCATGTCATTAAATTAAAATAAATGAAAAAATTTGCATTAAATAATTGATTCTTAAATAATTACTGTTTTAAATTGTGATTAAAACTATTTATAATAAATATTTTTTCATATAAAAAAATTAATAAATAAAATCTCTATGTGAATTCTTTAAAATGGTTAAAAAATTCTTTAAAATGGTTTTGATATTGTAATTGTACGTTGCATTTGTAAAATCGGTTTTAATATTTAAAATAATATTTAGTAAATTTAAAAATTTAATAGCCAGTATGAAAGTTTTTATGTGAAAAAATATTTAAATCCCAAATATTTTAAGTACTTTGTGAAAAGAGTCTGTTATAAAACTAACTATTAAGAAATAGTTTATAAAGCAGTAAATTGTACAAATTTTAACGTTGAATGAAGTTTTATTATATAGAGTGGCTTATACAATAACCAGCGTAAATATATAAATGGTAATAATATGAAATTTATTCTAAATTACAGTGAAAGGTAGTAAAAAAATTAGAATAAAAATTCTCTCTTAAAGACATTGCGTATAGGAACATGCTATTGAGAAAATGAAAAAATCGACCATTTATTTACCCGTTATACTATTGTATAACGTCATCCTTTGATCGATGATAATAAAAGCGTCATCCTTCTCGAATTTTATGAATAATACAGCCATTATAAGTAAGTTTGCGAATTTTTCAGGAAAGACCACAAAAGAATCCCTCCAGAGTACATCGTAGATCAAGGAGATTAAAGTCCGTGAACGATTAGTTTGTTAAGGCTCTAAACATGGTGGAGATTAAAGGGAAAAAGTCTGTTTCACGATTGGCGGCACGTATGTATGACAGACAGCTAGTGGTAGGAAAATTCCTCGTTTACTCGGATACTTAATATGCAGATGCAAGCGTACTTGGTGGTGAGTCATGTGGGATGGGTTTCTTTCCTTTTTTTTTTTTTTTTTTTTTTTGCATGAAACACAGCGATGCCCGAACAATATGCGTGGCCGTGGGCGCACTATTGAAGGAAATCGC